GATCTCCTGATGTGAGGCTGTCTTCTCCAACAGGACCCCCCATCATCTCCAGCACCCAGACTCAGCACGCTTTGCACGGTGAGAAAGGCCAGATCAAGTGCTTCATCCGGAGCACGCCACCACCTGACCGCATCGTGAGTTCCCAGGGAGGGGAAGTGGCCCCAGGGTCACCTCTGCCGAGAGCGAGGCTGTGTGGTGGGTGGGTGGTGGCCATGCCTGGCCTCTCCGTTTCCTCTGTGGGGAGGGGCACACCAGCCGTGCCTCTCTGGGAAAGGCCTGTGAATCTGCACAGCTCCGGTGCCCAGGACAGGCTGTGCTCCCCCAGCACCCGTGTGCCGTGTGGCTCAGACACCCACAGCTCTGCAGCAGTGGTGAGGGCCGCAGAGGGCGCAGGCCGACCCTGCCTCGTGGAGCTTCTCCTTCAAAACGATCGCCCCCTGCCCCCCAACCCCCAATTCTGCTTCCTCACAACATTCATTCCCATCGTGTGGCCCACGCAGCTGTGCGGTTTTGTGTTTTTTGAAATGGATGCTTTGTACGCAAGTCTGTTTGACACCAGCAGCAGCTCAGGCATGGAAACCGAGAGAACGGACATTTGTCACACTGACTGTGGAAAAAACCAAATTCCTGCTGGAGACTGCCAGTGGTCAGCTGCCCAGGCCCTGGAGGCTGGGGCCGGGCACCGCTTGTTTTTGGGCATTCTGGTTATTCCCTCTCTTAGAGATCCACAGCAAAATCGCAAGTAGCCACCCATACAACGCCTAGCCCTCCTTGTTCTTCTTTTTAAAAGATTTATTTTTATCTGAAAGACAAAAGGAGAGATCTTCCATCTGTTTATTTATATTGCCAAATGACCACATCTGAAGCCAGGAGCCCAGAGCTTCCTCCAGGTCTCCCACATGGGTGCAGGGTCCCAAGGTTTGGGCCATCCTTCACAAGCAGGGAGCTGGAGGGGGAAGTGGAGGAGCCAGGATTTGAACCTGTGCCCATATGGAATACCAGCCCCACGGGTGGAAGCTAAACACTACCATGTCGTGGTGCCAGCCTCCTCCCTACTCTTTACCGAAGGGCTGCATTCACCTGGAGCCAGCGGCCCTCTGCCAGGGGGTGCTTAGCAGAGTTTGGGGACACTTTGGATTGGGGCAGGCAGCGCTCCCTGGGTTCACAATCAGCAGAGGCCAGGGGCGCCACCAATTTCCTCCAGGGCACAGGTGGTACCCGCTCAGGGAAGTCCCTAGCCCCTACCTGCATGGCCAGCCAGGGTGGGGTGCAGGAATGAGTATGGGACAACTCCGAAAACCAGGCATGGTGTCAGCTGGCTGGACAAAACCTAGGAAGGTGATGGCAAACACAGCTGGTGATATGCTCCCTACACACAGGAACAAACCCAGACACAGCCCCATGGCCCCTGGTTCTGCTCAGGTATGCAGAGGAGGCTCAGTACCAGGTGCTGCGTGGGGCAACAGTACTCACCACAGGAGCACCTGCGACTTGCTCCTGCTGACTCCAGGATAGTTCGCTTGGCCTGAAACCAAGTTCACAGGGCAGACTCCATGTGCCGTCCCTTCTGGGAAGCCAATACCCTCGGTGGCAGGCTCTACCTCTGTGTGTGCACCCACGTGTGGATGTGTGACTTCCTCACGTGGTATCTGCCCTGGCAGCCTGTGGTATGAGTACGTGCCCATGAGTGTGCCCTTGCGGGTGGGAGGCGTGTGCTGTGCCAGCTCTATGGGCATGCGGATTGGTGGTGGCACACGGCAGTGGCGGGAGCTGGCCCTGAGCGGCGAGGCACATGGGTGGCGGCACCATGGTCAGGGGTATGCTTCCTGATCTGCATCCGCACCCCGCAGGCCTGGTCCTGGAAGGAAAATGTGCTGGAGTCGGGGACTTCGGGGCGCTACACAGTGGAGACGGTCAGCACAGAGGAGGGCGTCATCTCCACGCTGACCATCAGCAACATCGTGCGGGCTGACTTCCAGACCATCTACAACTGCACTGCCTGGAACAGCTTCGGCTCTGATACCGAGATCATCCGGCTCAAGGAGCAAGGTGCGGGCTGCAGGGCTGCAGAGGCATTAGGCGATCGCAGGGCCCCTCCTGACTCAGGTCAGCCCCAGGAACGCTGAGTGCCAAAAGTACCCATCACAAGTCCCCAGGGAAGCCACGCTAGTCTGCCTGGCTGGCTACACAGGCCACCAAAGGAAGGGCCACTGGGCTCCACCAGGAAATGAGAACGGGACAGAGACCATTGCTGGAATGCTGGGCACTATGACAATACTTCAGGCCCAGCCCAGCTCACAGCACAGATTGCACACACCCTGACTTCTCTACCCACTGCCCTCCCCTATGGATCCTGGCCTGGTGCCCAGTTCCCTGAGCAGGTGTCTGCCCAAGCAGAACAGGGACACCTTGGCATGGCTGTGTGGGGATCCTGGCCTGACCAGTCACCTAGAAGTCTCTGGGAAAATACACAGACTAGAGCGAAGGAGGGTGCTAACCTGTCTCGCACCCTGGGGTGGGGGCTTGGGCTCTCCAGGAGCCCCAGGCCAGAAGGCAGCGCCAGGAAGAGCACAGGTGGGTGAACAGAAGAGGAGAAAGCACACACATTACCCCCAAGGGTCTGCTGCCCAGCTCCTAAGCCCAAGTGATGCCAGACTCTGTCCAAGAGTTCTTGGGCACAGACTGGGAGCCCCAAGATTCGGCACAGTGCATGGCTCCTTGGAAGCAGGCCGAGGGTGTGGAGCTGGTTCCCCAGGAGATGTACGCGTGGGGAGGATGCAACTGCTCTGTCTGAAACTGGCTGCAGATCTTGCCCTTGGCAGACAATGCTCAGCCTCCAGGGACCAAGGATTCGTGTTCAGCAGGGCCCGAGGTTGGGGGGCTGAGGGGAGGGTCCCACTGGGCCCCTCGGACGCTGTCCTGCAGCCCACCGTGAAGGGTATCTCCCAACACCTCTTCCCCCTCCACACACCATAGCTGCTGCTTTGCATAATGCTTTGCACCTAATTTGCATAACATCATCCACACCTCATCCCGACCCCCCGGCCCCTGCTGCCTAACCTTCCTGTCTTCCCCGTGCCCTCCCCTCGGTGTTCTCTCCGCACCCCTACACTTAACTTCTCTCTCTAGTCGCCACCGCCCTGCTGGAGTCTGAGTGAGTCTGAACAAACTCCAAGTACAGCTGGGATCGACAGGGTTCTTCCAGAGACAGGACCCAGGAGGGAGCCCCACCACCACGCACCACCCCCATTCCCTCCAGGGGCTGATCCCCAATCCGTCCCGCCCCACCCCAGCCAGCCAGGCCCTGGCTGTGGACGCTTGCTTTATTTCCAAACAGGTTCGGAAATGAAATCGGGAGCCGGGCTGGAAGCAGGTACGGAAGGAGTTGATGAGAACTGCCCCCGGAGGGGGGAGGGGAGGGGCTTCTTGGATAGTGCGGGAGGGGACCGAGCCGGGGCAGGGAGGCCATGACGCCTCCAGCATCTTTACATCCCCCCATGTCCAGAATGAGGGCTTAGAGCAGTCAGAGCAGCCAGGCGCCGTGCTGCGGCCGGCCGGGGTCTGCGAACCCCAGAGACCCGGCTACTGTCAACCGCCATGGCCACAACCACCCTCCTCCCTGGGACGCTGCGTCTTTCTCTCCAGGAGCCCTGCATCCTGGCCCTGGCCTGGTCTCAATCTGCTTCTGGACTCTCCCTGCTTCTCAGCATCATAACCAGCGTGGCCATAAGCTCTCAGGATGTTGCCTGCTGGATCCCTTGGCCCGCCCTGTCCCAATTCCCGGCCTCACGTCTCCCCCTAGACTGGGAGTACTGGCACTGCCTCTGTCCCTAGACATAGGCACAGCGTTTGAGTTGTTCTGTCCCCTGTTGCCTCAGCCTCCCAGCAGAAGGCCCAGAAAAGAGATTCGGGCCAAAGCCAGTGGGATTCCTAGGGCACACCAAGGCCAAACTGAAGATGTGGGCATCCTCTGGGTGGATTCTCCTGTCAGGCTGTGCCCTTTAACAAGCCCAGCAGCAGCGCAGGGTGGGACTGGCTGGTGGAGCCCCTGCAGGGCAGCCCAGACAGCGGTCAGCCTCCTGCTGTGTCTGGCCTCCGGGCCACCTGGTGCTGAGGGGTGGCTTATTCCTCCTGTCTGCATGTCACCTGTATCTTTCTGCATTCATCCAGTGTTCTCTGCCACCTGCCTCCCCCTCCCCCTGACCCCTGTGCCCAGTACCCTCCTTGGGTGGCAAGGTGGCTGAGTGAGAGCAGCCCTCCCTGCAGTGCTGCCCAGGAGACATCAAGGAGGCTGTGTCCAGGAAGGAGCCACCTGCCCAGACAGCTTCCCCCTGCCCCTGCCCACCTGCTTGGGAACAGTCTCCAGCTGGGACAATGTCCCTCCTGCCAGCAATGAACAACTCCAGGACATGTGCTTCAGAATGCCGAGGATTGCTAGGCACCTCGGCCACGTGCAGCTGCCCCTGCTCTGTGCTTCACAATGAGGCCTGGCTGGAGACAGTTAGCAACCATCTACGGTCACCATTTGGCCCTGAATTCAGCTGAGACCAGATCCGACTCATCCCACAGAACTTCCAAGGAACCAAAGAGAAATTGAATGAAATCTGCCTTGTGACCATCCAAAAGCTGAGGCCGATGAGCTTCCGGAACAGCTTCCTTCCTCTCTGCCATGGGAACCTGAAGACAGAATCTCCTCCATCAAAGGAAGTGGTTCTGACAGCAGGTCCCTCTGCCCAGTGCTAGCTGCCAAGACCAGCCCAACACCTCCCCTCCCAGCCCCCTAATGTCACCTCTGTCACCTCTAAGGTGACCTTGGCCACCAGCAAGCAAATGGATAAGTTCCTGTCCTCGGATGGCAGATGAGCCACCTAATGTCACCACAGATAACCAATGGCAGGGGGCACCAGCTCTTGGCACCTCCTTCCAGCAGCACTTCCAGGTGCCAGGGATTGAAGCAAGCAGCAGAACAAATGCCCCTACGTGGCACATGCCCACAGTCACTCAGAAAAGCTTCCCTTTAAGAAATTCACCTGACACAGTTGCCCCTTCTCATGGGATACCCAGAGCTTACACTTACACAGGGCTGGGTACCCTGGGTACAGGGTCACCTCCAGGGCCTGTACCGACTGCAGCCCTCTGCGGAAGACACCCATTTCAATCCCTGTGTTACAGATAAGAGGTAAAGGAAGTGACGCAGCCAGCAGCCTGGGCTGCGTGAAAGCTCTGCGGGATGCTGTGGGATGCAGCAGGCAGGACTTGGGGGAGCTGGGAGTGGGTGAGCTGAAGGATGGGCGGAGTAGCAGAAATCCAGGTTTGCCCTGACTGCAGCTCTGTGTCCTTGAGCAAAGTTCTTGTTTTGCCTTATCTGAGCTCCATCCCATCTGTGAGATAAGAGCCTTGGACTCAGGAAACCTCAAAGTCACCCTTTTCTCATCTTTCTAGTTCTGTCCCCAAGCCCCAAATCTTGTGCTCAGGCCCCCCTGTGCAGTCATAGGAGCACCAGGGCTGTCTAACCTCCCTACCACCACCAACACACTCCCATGTCCACCTTTGCTCAGGTGGGACAAGAGATTGAAACTCAGTAAGCAGTGAGGGCTTGCGGGGCTGCAGCTCCACTCCCTCTCTGCTCCTCGCTCAGCACGGACAGGTTGAGGGGTAGTGGTGCCAGGATGTTCTGAGAGCTGGCCTGGAAGGAAGAGGAACAGAGTGGGCTAGTGGCAGCCAGGGGAAAGGGAGGCTTCTCCTTAGACAGATGTCAGCAGCCCTTAAGAAGTGGACACCCTTTGGCCACAGCCCCCGATGCTCAGCAGGTCCAAGCAGGAGCTGTCCCAGACTGAGGACTCTTCCAGCACCGAGTCCACATGTATCCATAGGTACCTGGGAAAGGCAAAAGAAGAAAGGTGCAAACCCAGCAGACAGGGCAGGGACCACAGCCATTTCTCAAAGAAAAGCTAAGGTGTGTGACTCTCCAGCCACCGTGTGCGAGCAGCTTGTTTAACGCCGAAGATGGCCCAATTGTGTCAACCTCCCCCTCATCTGCAACATTCCTGTCCCCTGGCCCTCCCTTCTCTATGTCTGTCCCTTCCCCCAGTTCCTCACCATCCTCTCCTCCACTTCGTGTCCTCCACTCCCATCTCTGCAGTCCCACTAGACCTGACCCCCCTGTTGGACTCTGTGCTTGCCCAGGCCCCACCCAGCCATCTTCCAGGAGGGGGACCCATGCAGCAGGGGCTGAACCAGAGGGACCCGGGCAAGCTGTGCCTGTCCCTCACCAGTGCATGTGTGTCTCTCCCGCAGAGTCCGTGCCGATGGCCGTCATCATCGGGGTGGCCGTGGGAGCCGGTGTGGCCTTCCTCGTCCTGATGGCAACCATTGTGGCCTTCTGCTGTGCCCGTTCCCAGAGAAGTACGGAAGGGAGACCCGGGATCTCAGGGAGGGGGACAGAGAAAAAGGCCAGGCTTAGACTGCCCCGGAGAGCAAGTAAGCAGGAGCACGGAGACCAGGGGTCCTGACAGCGCTGTGAGCTCCGGGGGCAGGGATGGGGCTGATGCGCTGGGCATCCGGCACTGAGTGGGCACCCAGCACATGCTGAACTGGACCACACTGACCTTCACCTTGCAGGGCAGCCAGCCAGTTTTGGATTAAGCATGCACTATTGCTCGGGAATTGTACAGAAACCCAGGGGAGGGAAAAGAATGGGCTTGACCCTCATGCGCTTCAAGAGCTGCTGGTCTAACCAGAAAGGCAGGTCACCCACACAGAGGGTGGGTGGGTGGGGGTTGGAGGAGAAGCACTCAAGAAAATGCTCTGAGCAAATCTGTCAAGGCCATTAGTCATGGGCAGTAATCCCCTGGGATTTGTGTACCCTTGAATGTGGGTAGCCAGGACTCCACTTGCAAGTGTCCGGGTTAGGAGAGCAGAGAGGAGGTAAAGACAGTACAGACAGGGTGTTCCAGCCTCCGTGACCCTGGGCAAGCCACAGTTCTACCAGATTGCACCATCAAGGGGTGGAGCAACAGGGCTTTGATGAACCCCCTCTGTGGGCTCAGTGGTGCAGTTCCTGCACTGTGAGTGAGGCAGCCTCTGCTTCTGTGCCCACCCCCCCAAGGATGTGGTCTCCAGACCTCACTCATGTTTTAGCAACGTTTTTCTGCCAGGCTCTCCAACAGGAAATGGGCCTCCTGCTGTACCCACAAACAAGTGTGGCTGGGCCCCTGTGTGCCCAGGGTAGGGGGTGCAGGGAAAGGGCTGGTCATGGGGACCATGAGGGAACTGTGAGGTCCTTTCAAGCACCAACATTCTGGTTTCACAGATGGAGAGCCCAGAGCCTGCGAGTAGAGTCAGAAGAGACTTCTAGAAGGAAGGGAGAATTTTGTAGGATAAGAAGGATGTAGGTCCCCACTGGGGGTACTTGAGTGAGGACAACCTCTCCAGCCAAGGATAAGCCAAGCAGCCCACATGTCAGCCTCTCTTAGGCCCTATCAGTCCAGGCCATCCAAGTGGGAGACCTACTGGTGGGGTACGGTGGTGGGTCCAACTTGGGGTGATGGCATGGGGTTGGGGACAGGGAGCTGCTGGGAAACTGAACATCAACATCTTAGGCTCCGATGCCTGAAGGTGACAACTGACCTGTTGGCCCATACATTCCTGTTTTATGTCCAGATCTCAAAGGTGTTGTGTCGGCTAAAAATGATATCCGAGTGGAGATTGTCCACAAGGAGCCTGCCTCTGGCCGGGAGGCTGAAGAGCACCCCACCATCAAACAGCTGATGGTGAGAATGCTGCCCACTGCACCAGCCTGCCCCGAACCCCTGCGCCTGCAGAGCCCTGGGACTAGAGCCTTCTTGACACTCTATGCTCCCAACAAGCGGAGCCTTGCACACCTGCCCAACCCCTGTGTGTCTGCTGCATCAGGCGTGATATTCTGGGAGATGGCACTTGGGTTGTAATTCCAGGCTTCAGGGAACCTGACCATCCAGTCCAAAGAGGAGGCAGGTGCACTACGGCCATGCCGTGTTGCCATTCAGCAATATGGCCCTACGCACACACCCCCATGGAGGTTAGAGCATTTCAACACATGGCTCTGCCAATGGCGATGGGCTCCCCCACATCCTCCAGTGCCCAATCTTCCTCATGACCCCTCCATGGGCTTAACTCATTGCTCTGTCCCAGCAGAAACCTAGACACCTATGTTGGGAACTTCTTGCGCCTGCCGTGTGTGGTGATGTTGCAGCAGGGGCCCCAGCTCAGGGAGTGAAGAGCCTGGCCTTCTCAGAGCTTCGGTGCAGTCATCTATAAAATGGACATGAAAGTAACAGCACAAAAAAAAAGTAAAAATTTAAAAAGAAAAAGAAAGTAACAGCACATAGGGTCACAGTGAGGGTGAATGGGGCAAAACCCTGAAGACCCTGGAGCTTGCAAAAAAACACAGTGGTTGCTCAAAAATGCTAGCCGTTCCTGCTGCTCTGAAATCCCCCACTAGATGGTGAGCGGCCACCGCCATGCGTAGCCCCCAGGAGTCACAGAGAAGGCTGAATTGAGCTGCCTCTCCCCCTGCTGTTCTTTATCCATCCAACTGCTTTTCTTTATACCTATATATCTATATGCATGCATATGAGCTTTTTAAAAAATATATTTATTTATTTGAAAGGCAGGGTACACAGTGAAGAAGAGACAAAAAAAGAGAGCTTCTATCTATCATCCATCGCTTCACTCCCCAAATGGCTGCAATGGCCAGAGCTGGGCTGGTGTGAAACCAGGAGCCAGAAGTTTCTTCCGGTTCTCCCGCATGGGTACAGGGGCCCGAGGACTTGGGTTACCCTCTGCTGCCTTCCTAGGCCTTAAGCAGGGAGCTGGATGGGAAGTGGAGCCCTCAAGGAATACCACCAACGCAGCTGCGGTTTTACCACTGTGGCACAGCAATAACCCCTATGCAGTTGAATTTCAAGGCCAGCCAATTCCCCTTTGAACAGTGCTTCAACTAGGGGCCCCCAGCTCTTCTCCACTGTCACCTGCTTACTGCCTTGGACAACAGCAGCCCCCTCAGTGGCTTCACACTTTAGACCTTGGCCACCTTTCTCAGTCTACACTCCACAGAGTAGCACTGATCCTTTCCCAGAGCAGCACTGATCCTGTCATCACTGCTGCATCAAGCCCATTGGGCCCATGATTGCCAGGTAGCTGCCAGGTAGGTCTTCCAATGCCACCTGCCAGCCAGCCAGAGCCATCTGGTCTCCCCAACACATCCAGGAGCTTGACATTCCTGGTCTTTGGTCTTACCTTCCCTTGAAGACCCGTGCAGAGACCTCTCCCTCTGCCTGTTGAATTCCACACCCTCCTCTAAGGATCGTCTTGAACGTCATCTCATGCCATCTACTCCACAATTCCCCTGCACTTGCTGCTCTCCACAAATTCTTTGCACGGGCCTCTCTGACAGTACATGACCCTCATCACGGACTAGCCTCCCCCACACCAGCCTTATCTGTCTGCTCCCACACCCCAGGTCTAACACAAAGTCTGATTAGTATCGGGTGGATGAAACCACAACCCAGACCCAAGAAGGGAAGTGTGTCTCTGCCCCCGAGTACATCAGGCTTGTCCTTCACCTCCAATGGGACCTTGGAGTCAGTCCCTCCCTTTGGGATATTTTAATGGCCCAGGCTATCCCCACAACCTCACCCTGACCTGGACCCAAACCACTGGGAGTCAGCTGAGAGCAGGACAGTACTTGCTCTCTGCCTGCTGGCCCTGTGGCTGGCCTCCCCTGGAGGCATCTACGTGCCCTCTGGCCCTGACACAACCCCATCCTCAGATAAGCATGCTTAGAATTGAAATCTGAGGGAGAAAATAAGTCTGATCAGACAGGGCAAGGGCAGGTGTTGCAAAATGAAATGCAGCGATCCTATTAGTGAGGAAGCAAGCGGTGGGGGTACACCTTGGCTGATTTGGGAGCCAGAGGAGGAGCTCCATAAGGAGACCAGGAGAGTGACTCACAGGGAGGAGAAGCATCTCCTCCCAGAGACAGGAACCTAGCCCCATGACGCCCATCGTAGGGCTCACAGCCTCACCAGCACGGTCCACACACCCACTGTGTGTCTGTGCCAGGCTTATCCCCTCATTGTCACTCTCGCCTTCAGGCACTTGTCATTTCATCCCTTCCTCCCACATAACCATCACATTTGGGAGAGCCCCACTGTCTGACAGGCACCGGGCTGGGTCCTAGCAGACCATGGAAACAGTAAAACCCATTCCTAAAGTCTTCTGGACAATGACACACTCTGCTGGGCACCAGACCAGGTGTGGTCGGGACCCAAATAGAAGTAGGAAGTGATCTTCACTCTGGTGCTCATTGGCATCTATTTAAAAAAAGCAACCTGCCAGGGGTCTAAGTCACTGCTGGGAGTGACAGGTGTGGCCTATGTCACGCGTCATGATTCCTTCACTGAACCCTATCCCTGGGTGACACAAGCCTGGGAGGAGTCCAACCTGTGCCCTGAGGTCAGCACTCTACCCCGTTTATCTCTGGGTCCATCTTGCTCCTAAGTAGGGCTGTACCCTCACATATCTTAATCTGTGTATTCCTGGCCAGAACTTTGCAAAGTGCACCAAGTGACTTGAATGGAATCGGCCACATGAAATCCCTGGAGGTGGTGTCCTGGCCTGTGTGCAGGAAGTATGGCCTTTAGAAACTCACCCCAGACTCAGCATCCCTCCCAGCTCCAACATACACACCTCCTGGCTCTATCTCTGGGGAAGCGGGGGTGGGGGACAGCAGCACGGACGCGATCTGGAATCTCACAGGGACCGTTGACCTGCCTTGGGTAGCCCAGGGGCAGGAGGCATGTGAGCCCTTCCTTTGAGGATGTTTCCTCTGGTCTGGTCCTTGGAGGCAAGGGAGACCTGACCATCTCCTCCCCATTGAGCAGCATCTTTGGGTTGTAGATGGATCGGGGAGAGTTCCAACAAGACTCAGTACTGAAGCAGCTAGAAGTCCTCAAAGAAGAAGAGAAGGAGTTCCAGAACCTGAAGGTGAGAGCAGTCCAGGCAATGGGGAGGAGGGTGGCATAGAGCCCCGGGGCAGGCTCTTCCGTGCCCCCTACCCAGGCCGCGAATCCTTGGGAAGAATGACAGCATGCAGAGAAGAAGGGTCCTTGGCCAGCGTGGGACAAGCACCTGCCCACTCCCTGAGCTGGGCCACTCCCCACCCAACACAGAGAGGGTTCGGAGAGAGTGGAGGCCCTCTTCCCATCAGGTTCCTCTCCCACAGCCTCTGAAAAGTAAATGAATTTAGAAATTAATTAATACTTACATTCAGAATGATTAACAAACACAGAGTCTGGTTTCCAAATGATTTTGCATTCCCTCCAACGCAAACCTGGGGCGGAGCCTCTCCCTAGAGTCTAACACTGCCTCCCCACCTCCGTGCCCCTCTCCTCCTGGTTCCCCCACCGCTAACCCTCCCTCGGCCCCCTGCCCCTTCTCCCTGCAGCCCTCCCACTCATCCCACTTGCTCGTTCCCTGCTCGCTCACCCCACCTTTTGTAACTGAAAACCCTGCTCCACCCACTGATGATGTGTGCCTGGCTGTCCCCATAGGACCCCACCAACGGCTACTACAGTGTCAATACCTTCAAAGAGCACCACTCGACGCCCACCATCTCCCTGTCCAGCTGCCAGCCAGACCTGCGCCCTGCAGCGGGCAAGCAGCGCGTGCCCACAGGCATGTCCTTCACCAACATCTACAGCACCCTGAGCGGCCAGGGCCGCCTCTACGACTACGGACAGAGGTTCGTATTGGGCATGGGCAGCTCATCCATCGAGCTGTGTGAGCGTGAGTTCCAGCGGGGCTCACTCAGCGACAGCAGCTCCTTCCTGGACACGCAGTGCGACAGCAGCGTCAGCAGCAGCGGCAAGCAGGACGGCTACGTGCAGTTCGACAAGGCCAGCAAGGCTTCCGCCTCCTCTTCCCACCACTCCCAGTCGTCCTCCCAGAACTCCGATCCCAGCCGACCCCTGCAGCGGCGGATGCAGACTCATGTCTGAGGATGAAACACGTGGCATCTAGGGTGGGGATGTAAGGGGAGCTGGGGCTGGCTCTGCAGTGACCGAGGGTACTTCCGGAGGACCCCAGAACCAGCCGCTTCCAAGACAGCCTCTGAGCACCTCTGCCTCCTCCCTCCTCCGAAGCTCTGATCAAGCACAAATCTGGGTCCCAGCTGCAGCGCGCCAGAAGCAGGAGGGTGGGTGGGAGCCAGACAGAGGATGCAGCAGAGACTGGACACACGCCCCCACCCCACCCTGCCCTTTCCTGGACAGCAAGCTTCTCACCTGTTCCTCCCACAGGCACTAGAGACAGCTGGAAAACTCGCTTTCACGGATCTTCCGGCCACTCACCGGTCTCTCCTGGCCTCTACCCCTCACTGTCCTAAGTTCTGCCCCTGTGCCTGTGCTCCTGTACAGCCCTGGGGAGAAAGGGGAGGGGGGCAGTTTCTCCAGTGCTGAGGGCCCTCAGAGACCCCCAGCTTACCCCTCAGTTCAGAGCCCATTCCTTGGAGGCTGAGAAGCCCACAACGGCCCTGGCTTGAAGAAGAAGCATCCCTCCCACCACACTGGCCTGGCCAGAGCCCACTCCCAATTTGTTTGGTGTTCTGTGTCCATACTCTCGCAATTTGTCCTTGAACTTGAAGCCTCTGATGTCTGCAGTGGGACTGGCCCCCTCACAGCCCGGTGTCCTCGGCGTGAGCCAGAGGGGAGGGGAGAGTGTGCGCGTTTCAGGAACATCTTGCCCAAACCCTGCCTCCCCCCGACCCAACATCTCTGCAGCCACCCTAGCCCCTGCTTTGTGTACTGCTCCTAACCCGCAGCACAACTGGCGTGAATATAAAGAGTGTGAGGGCTTCTCCAGCCAGGGTTCTGTGGATGCTCATTGCAGAGGGTATTGGCTGGGAGGTGCTGACCTCAGAGGCTGGTGCTCAGGTCCTAAAGATAATGAGACTCATGTTCTCAGGTGACCCACACACGGGAACACAGCCAGGTTCTCTGTAAGACTCCCAGGCAGTACGTGCCTAACTGCACCTCACTCCTCCTATTCACACCACCCCCTACCCGGCAAGAATAAGTCCGAGGGCCAACACACCAGCTGCTCCTTTGTCCTGTTCTTTTGCTTCTTGCACACCCGCAGAAAGAGGCCGTGGGCTAGGAAGAACCCAAGGCCACCTGCCCTCCTCCTGTCTGCTAGTGCTGGCACTGAAGACAGTAAGAACTGTCCTGAATGGCTTGGGAACTTCAAACCATGGAGGGGTGCCCTCTCCTTGGTGATGTGCCCGACTCAGAGGACAAGCCTGGCCAGAATTCAATAAGCAGATACAGTTCCCAGGCCAAGTGGCCATTCAGCCCCGTGGCCAGCTCATGCTCAGCCTTTCTTCGCTGCAGTGTACTTGCGGATAGGGGGCAGCAGGGAAAATTTCCTCTCCTGGGTGGGTCAGGGGAGTAGGCCTTCTCAAGGAGTCCAGACACCAAGCACCCTGCTACTATAGCGAGATTCAGAAAACCAGAGAGCAGGCTTGTGTGGTAGGATGTGTGAGGCAGTCACGGCAGTCAGGACAGACCCAGGGAAACAAGGCAGAGTGCCGGTACAGCAGCAGATTCAGGCAGAACTCTGAGCGTGAGGGGTCTTTCCTGCTCTGTGCTCCTTACCCGCTGTGGGCACCTGGGCTGCGGCAGACAGCACTTCCATCCAGACCATGACTTCCTCCTGAGGTGGCCACATTCGTGCTTCTGTAGCTTTCCCGCTTGGTCAACGTCTGCACTACCATCCTGCTTCCCAGTGCCTTGGTCCCCTGATCCACAGGACGGAGGAAAAACTGAGCACAAAACCATACCCCAGCCCTCCAGTTCTGCTCCTGGTACTGTTTCAGCCTGGCATGGACACCAGACTGCTGGCCTGAAGCTTTCCCTTTGCCAAGAGGAAACACAGACCCAAGAGCCTATGCAAATATGGCAGAATAAGAGCCCTGCTGGGGCAGAATAAGGAAGAGAATGGCTTAAGGGAATTTGTCCATTAATTTCTCCTGATCTTCCTCACCTTGGAGGTGGGTGGACCATCTGTCCCCTGATATTCATTGACCGTGACGCAAACACACACGCAGAGCTAGGAGGGTGGAGGTAGCTGTTCTGCCTGAGTTCAAGGTTAGGACTGAGTAACTGCAGAGTGGCAATGGGACTTACCCTGTTGAACAGGAAACACATGAACCCCTCTCCTATTTGTCCTGGGCACTCCTCAGGGTGAGAATGTGGGCATACTAGGGATTGGAAGGAAGCATCAGAGAAACGCCCAAGACCGTGCCCTATTCCCTGAGTTTCCTCCAATGCACAAAGTCATCAAAGAAGCGCTA